ATGCATATTTTACTCAGAAGAAAGTCCTGCTATACAGTCATATCTCGAGTTGCGTTTGCTTCACCTTGCGTTTTTTCTGGTAAAGAACGAGGCAAACCCGGAACTGTTTACTTCCAGGTTCGCCACTTCGCGCATACGCAAGAGCGATCTGCACGCTTTGCGCATGTGCAGGAGTGCTCTATCACGTCGCGCGCAGAAGCGGTGCTCTACTTATGGACTTTTCAGGGTGCGAATGGCACCCCAGAACAGATCGTGTCCATAAGTAGAGGTACCACTGTATTCAAGAGGGTTAACTGCACATAGCGCTGTAGCCTAAGAAGACACCTACCACTCTTCTGGAGGTAATACAGTTTATTTATTTCACTTACTTATTTAACAACGTTTATATACCACTTGATTGCTAAAAAACAAACAACCCTCCTAGCCATTTTCAATAATAATAATAATAATAATTTATTATTTATACCCCGCCCATCCGGCTGGGTTTCCCCAGCCACTCTGGGCGGCTTCCAAAAGAATATTAAAATACTATAATACATCAAACATTAAAAGCTTCCCTAAACAGGGCTGCCTTCAGATGTCTTCTAAAAGTCTGGTAGTTGTTGTTCTCTTTGACATCTGGTGGGAGGGCGTTCCACAGGGAGGGCGCCACTACCGAGAAGGCCCTCTGCCTGGTTCCCTGTAACTTGGCTTCTCGCAGTGAGGGAACCGCCAGAAGGCCCTCGGTGCTGGACCTCAGTGTCCTGGTAGAACGATGGGGGTGGAGACGCTCCTTCAGGTATACTGGACCGAGGCCGTTTAGGGCTTTAAAGGTCAGCACCAACACTTTGAATTGTGCTCGGAAACGTACTGGGAGCCAGTGTAGGTCTTTCAAGACTGGTGTTATATTGTCTCGGCGGCTGCTCCCAGTCACCAGTCTGGCTGCTGCATTCTGGATTAGTTGTAGTTTCCGGGTCACCTTCAAAGGTAGCCCCACGTAGACCGCATTGCAGTAGTCCAAGCGGGAGATAACCAGAGCATGCACCACTCTGGCGAGGCAGTCCACAGGCAGATAGGGTCTCAGCCTGCGTACCAGATGGAGCTGGTACACAGTTGCCCTGGACATGGATTTAATCTGTGCCTCCATGGACAGCTGTGAGTCCAAAATGACTCCCAGGCTGCGCACCTGGTCCTTCAGGGGCACAAATACCCCATTCAGGACCAGGGAATCCTCCACACCTGCCCGCCTCCTGTCCCCCAGAAACAGTACTTCTGTCTTGTCAGGATTCAATCTCAATCTGTTTGCCACCATCCATCCTCCAACCGCCTCCAGACACTCACACAGGACCGTTACCGCCTTCACTGGTTCTGATTTGAAAGAGAGGTAGAGCTGGGTATCATCCGCATACTGATGAACACCCAGCCCAAACCCCCTGATGATCTCTCCCAGCGGCTGCATGTAGATGTTGAAAAGCATTGGGAGAGGACGGAACCCTGAGGCACCCCACAAATGAGAGCCCAGGGGTCTGAACACTCATCCCCCCCCACCACTTTCTGAACACGGCCCAGGAGGAAGGAGCGGAACCACTGTATGACAGTGCCCCCAGCTCCCAGCCCCTCAAGACAGTCCAGAAGGATGTTTTGGTCGATGGTATCAAACGCCACTGAGAGATCCAGCAGAACTAGGAAACAGCTCTCACCTTTGTCCCTAGCCCGCCGGAGATCATCAACCATCGCGACCAAGGCAGTTTCAGTCCCGTGATGAGGCCTGAATCCCGACTGGAAGGGATCCAAATGGTCCGCTTCTTCCAGGCGTGCCTGGAAATATAGAATAAAACACTTAAATTCATTTTCAATATCCATTTTCCAAGGTTTTGACACTGGAGAGTATTCAGACATACAATACCCAACCTCTGTTCAGGAAGCAGTACACTCCTGGAGTGACTTTATAAGTTATGAGTTGGGGGCACAGTGTTGTGATGGTTCCACACCTACCTGCAGAATCGCTACCAGAAATTGGCATTGGAATCTTCTGCTCCTTGAACTCCTTGACTCTTGAGAGGTGATATCCTACAGGCATCCATTATCTCCCCCCCTGCTGGGTCTCCCCAGCCACTCTGGGCGGCTCCCAACAGAATATTAAAAACATGATGAAAGATCAAACATTAAAAACTTCCCTAAACAGGGTTGCTTTCAGATGTCTTCTAAAAGTCAGATAGTTGTTTATTTCCTTGACATCTGATGGGAGGGCGTTCCACAAGGCGGGCACCACTAATGAGAAGACCCTCTGCCTGGTTCCCTGTAACCTCATTTCACACAGTAAGGGAACAGCCAGAAGGCCCTCGGAGCTGGACCTCAGGCTGAATGATGGGGGTGGAGACGCTCCTTCAGGTATACTGGGCCGAGGCCGTTTAGGGCCTTAAAGGTCAGCACCAACACCTTGAATTGTGCTCAGAAACATACTGGGAGCCAATGTAGGTCTTTCAGGACCAGTGTTATATGGTCTTGGTGCCATCAATATGAAGAAGGCAAGGCAGGAGTGCAAATTTCACAGCTACTGTACTTGATATGGAATTGTTCCTCCCTGTACTCTATACTATGTCAAAACAAGCCTCACTCATCATCTAGCAACTGTTTCATTGACAATACAGGAAGATAAGAAGCTGCTTTACATTTAAAGACTATTTACAGAAATATTGTAAAATTAATGAATGTTAGAATGATGCCAGAATGAAGTTAAGTGGTTTTAGCAGCAATGTCATAAAGGTGTATGTAAAAATGGATGGTTAATTGGTGAGAATCTAAAGCTATAATATATGAAGTTAAAGGACTAAGACAAAAACAAAGAGGGAAAGGAATTGCTGAATTAACCAATTGAACTGGAATACAAAAAAGGGAGGGGAGAGGAGGTCAGGGAAGCAAGGAAATGAAATGTAAGATACGGAAGGATTAATTTGTTTTTAAGTGTTTTTTATTTTTTTTCTGTACTTTGTATTTTGTATGATTTTTCTCTTTTTTCTATATTTTCCCTTGTTTCTTTTCTCTTTAACTATGTAATTTTTTGTTTCTGAAATTTTAATAAATATCATTTTTTAAAAAAAGATAAGAAGCTGCTTTACGCTGAATCAAACCACTGGTCCATCTGGCTCAGTACTGTCCACACTGACTGGTGGTGGCTCTCCAGAATTTCAGACTGGGATCTCTCCTAACCCTACCTGGAGAAGCCGTAGACTGAACCCGGGGGCTTCTGCCTGCAAAGCAGATGTTCTGTCACTGTCACTAAACTATGAGCCTACTGTTCTATTTCCCACATAAATTCCTTTACTTGCACATGCCACTTTTTTGTATTGCGACTTCTCTTCAAAAACCGAAAATCAGTCTCACTCCACTCCCATTTTCAATGGGTTTTCATCTCCCACAGACCAGGCCTTCCACACCCACCAACACTATCCCTTGCTCTGTTCATATCAGCTTAGAAATATTCACTGTTTAATGTTCACTCGTCGAGTAAAGATGGAAAGGCAAACAAATGTTTCTTGGAATGCTAGCAAAGCATCTCAAGCAGACAGAAAAGAGGGGAAATGTGATTCATGAGTGGCAGGAGGTCTCTGCAACCGATGAAAGCAAAGGCAGCTTCTGTTGTATTGCCTCAAACAGTGAGGCCTTCATGCAATAGTCTTCAGGGGAGTTTGTTTCACATATGTAGCAATTTTCCTGTCTGGCAGGCTGGCAGTGAACAAGAGCAAGTCCTTTGTGCATAGATATTTACAAGGCACACCAATGCTTTCACTTTTGGCATCCCCATTCCTACTGGAGGAACATGCTCCTGAAGACCTCTTGTGCCAAGAAAAATGAATGTTGCTTGTTTTCCCCAGTCACGCTCTGGAGGATTCAGCTCCTAAAGCACTGTTTTCCAGAGCCTGTGAAAAAAGAAATATTAGTTTCCTTTCAAAGCACAATAGTTGTATGCAGATATGAAGCTAATATTTGAACTCTGTCAAGCAAGCTCTCCTAATAGGATTTTAAAGCCTCTAGCCAAGAACTCAGCTTCCATTATTACAAACAATTTACACATGCCACAGGCAAATACTAATGTTTAAACAATAAAAAAGGATCTAAACTCTGTTGTTTAAACGACAAGAGTATAGGATTACAGGCTAGTAATCCTATTTTTAGCCTCCCCCCACCCTTTCCTGGCACTGCCTAATCTGGGTACAAACCAGCCAAATATGAATTTAGTTGTACAATGGGGTGCTTAATATCTGCTACATCATTTATCTGAAGCCGCTTTCGGATATTTATTTTTTGTTGGTAATGGTCTCATGGGGTGGTTCCTTGTCAGAGAGAATGCTTGTCAACTTGGCATATGAAACCACCCACCTTTGAACGCAACAAGGGAAACATCCCTGGCCATTTTGGAGTTCCACATATAATGCATGAGTAGAGACTTTGTTGGCCACGATTCTGACACTGTTCCATCTAAACATGATCTTGAGTTGCCGGAAATGGGTGTGAGCAGAATGTTCAAACCCCAGTGCCTCATATATGGTATTCTTTCCCCTGATTCCAAACAGCATATTCACTTCCAAGTGTACACACAGCCCCTAGACGTGAATTTCCCTGCTCACTTCAAAAGCGGTAGTACTATGGAGACACACATTTTGCATCTGGAGCTGTTCCTTCCATTGAAAATAATGGGAATGCCCAGAAACCATCTGCTCCATAGGAAATCATTCGGGGAAGGGCCATAGCTCAGTGGTAAAACATGTGCCTTGCATGTAGAAGAACCCAACTTCAATACCTGACATTTCCAGGAAGGAAGCCCTGCCTGAGACCCTGTGTACACAATACTGAGCTAGATAGACTAATGGTCTGATTCAGTGTAAGGCAGCTTCCTATGCTCCTGTGGACTGGGGTGCATATCTTGAAAGGGTTAGTCATAGAAAATAGCACCTAGGTTGCTGCAGAGGTCAGGAAGCAGAGTTCTCCTATCAGGCCCCTAGGAAGTGCAGTCCAGAAGGGCTGTGGCTCAGTGGCAGAGCATCTCCTTTGCATGCAGAAGATCCCAGCTTCAAATCCTCACATCTCCAAGTAGGGTTGACAGCCCTGCCTTAATTTCTTGAGAGTTGCTGTCAGTCAGTGTGGAAAATACAGAGCTAGATGGACTAGTGAACTGACTCAGTGTAAGGCAATGTTCCTATGGATTATGGCACATGTACCGAAAGCAGAAACAATGCTACCAGCTTTATGTTGCATTCATGTTACATTTCAAGTTACCTTTACAAATCACAAGAGAAATACCACAGTTTGTGCATAAGAACCTTGCAATCAGATGTAACCCTTGGAGCAAAACATATATTCCTTTAGAATTACCATTTCTTTCTTGCCCCAAGACAACTCAGAGAACAAGTGTGTGGTCTGCATTTAAATGTTCACATATCTGCAAGACCTTGCAGGAGAGAGTTCTTTGATTACAGAACAGCTTTCTTCATGGGAAAATTGGTTTCCTTGGGATTCAGGTGATCAGAACGAGGCATTTTACTGAGTCTGAATGGTATAGATTGCTATCCGGAAACATTCAGAGAAGTCTCAGCGCATAATCAAAAGGAATCTGTGTTAAACCCAATAAGCCTGAGCATGAACTAGAGTTCTGCGGGAACAAGACTGTACAGTGGTACCTCGGGTTAAGAACTTAATTCGTTCTGTAGGTCTGTTCTTAACATGAAACTGTTCTTAACCTGAAGCACCACTTTAGCTAATGGGGCCTCCCGCTGCCGCCGCTGTGCGATTTCTGTTCTCATCCTGAAGCAAAGTTCTTAACCCGAGGTACTATTTCTGGGTTAGTGGAGTCTGTCACCTGAAGCGTCTGTAACCCGAGGTACCACTGTATTTGTGAAGCCTCCACATTTTACTACCAAAGTGGCTTCAGCTCATGCATCTCTGCACAGAGGAAATATCCAACTTCCTTTTCATTCATTAACCTGAAAGTGTGGGAAAAGGAAGCACAAAACACTTGCACTTCCTGTTTCAGCATTTCTGTAGGTGTTGCCCCAAGACTTATACAGCTGATGATATTGTAGATTTACAGGGGCAAATTCCATCAGGTGAAATAACTATTCTATTATATAGAAGTAGTGTGGGAAGCTAAAATCATAAACAATTAAGGTACTGAAAGAATACAAATAATGAAAAAATAATATATCAACCTCAAACCGAAAAAGAAACCATTAAATCAAGAAAAAAACATGAAACAAAATGTTAGATCAACATTTTGGAACAAGGCAGCAGTAGTAAATAAATATAAAAATAAATATAAATAAAACTACCATCATCATGCCAGTAGGCATTTCAATATATTCCAGATTATTCTTAGTGCACTAGCAATTCCCATCAATGGGACCTAACAATAAAATATATACACAGTCTCAGAACTGGAAGACACACCCCGCCAAGAAAAGGGCCCAGTGAAACCCCTCCTCTCACTAGGGCTCCACCTCTTGTCCAAAATCAGATTCTTATATTTACAAGGCACTCAATTCTGTATGTATGTTGCCCCTTGGAAACTTAATTTATGAAGGCAAAAATGCTTCATAAAAAAAGATTCTGGAGGAAATAACAATAATTTAATTCATTGAAACTCTGAAAGACAGAACACACTAGATCACTTGGGACTTTGAAATCTGATGTTAATTGTATTTAAATGGCTCACATAAATAAGCATTTAATCAAGAAACTTTGAGGGGCGTGTGGCATGCAAGAGCGCGTGGAAAATATGTTTGGGTTTTTATTAACATTGCTTCATATCCTAAACTCCATTTTCTTTGCATCAGTAATATGATTCTTACTGTATTTTCTAATTCCTCCCTATATACCCCAACATATGTGTGCTTCACACGCACACACTTTTCCATAAGAATATATCTTCTTATATAAAACTCTAAGTCACTCACTTTTGTTGGAGTGCACACTATCAACCCATTAAAAGACGGGGGACGCATTAGTCCTCTTCATTGGCTATACTCCACACAACGTCTATAGGATGAGCGGCACTGTGCCCTCTGCCTCTGTCCTTGGTGACATGTCCCATGCCCTTCCTGCCCTGCCCTGTTCATACCCTGAAGGAGGGAAGTTTGCTGAGCATAGGCAAACTCTTCCCATGATTGGCAACCCTGATCACACATGGTTTCAGGCAACGGTAAGAGCCTAGGCACATTCACAAGACTTGTCTGGTGCAGGCATTTTGCTAATGTGCGAACGGCATGGTGCAGAGCCAGCAGGTTCAGCCCTGAAAACTCACTTTCCATGAGATCTTAATCATGTAGAGAAGATAGGGAACCAGTGGCCTCCAGATGTTGTTGCATACCAACTCTCCTCTGCTCCAACCAGCATGGCCAATAGTTAAAGAGATGATGGAAGCTGTGGTCCAGCAACATCTGGCAGCCACAGGCCCTCCATCCTGAAACAGATCATAAGGACAGAAAAAGGCCATTGACAGCACAGTTTATATACACATGCACACACAATACCCTTAGCAAGGCTGAATATTTCACTATTGCTTTTGAATCAAGGCTTTCAGGATAATCATGCAATTGCTGCATTGCACCTTTGGCATGTATTGAATTGATTGTTCAGATTACAGAGGCATTCAGTGGCAGAGTTTGATGATTTGTGTCGTAAACAAATACTTTGGTTGCTCAAGAGTGCCTGCTTTATTACAAGCTTAGAAGACTCTTCACATCATTCCAGATACCTGCTTTGGTTATAACTCTCAGATGCCACAGCTAATTACTCCAGAGCACGGCATGGATAATCAAGGCACGGAGCAGGTGGTGCCGTTTTGTTAGGCGTCACATGTGCTATTTTTGCTGAAACAAATCCAGAAGCTAACCTGCAATTCGAGCAAAAGAAACAGAAGGCTTTTTAAACAAACCCTTTGCCTAGACTACCTGGAGCAGACAGCTTCAGAGGGATGACTGATGCAAAACATGTGTTGACAATCTGGCTTGATCAAAGACTCAAAAGGAAAAGGGATGAGGTATTGTCACAGAGAACAGAAATGAACCACTGTTGGGAGTTGTTCTGAATGATCAGCTGGGGTTCAAGGCAAGTCTATTTCTTTACCCCCTAGCTTTTGTGGAAACAAAGGTGTGTGTGTGTGTGTGTGTGTGTGTGTGTGTGTAACACCCAAACCCACCAGATTACGCAGAGTGCAAGCATTTTGCAACAGAAGCAGACTACGAACAAATTGCATAGGCCCGCTTGAAAAACGTTAAATCACAGATATGAATGCCCCAATTATACAAAGGTTGGCACTTCTCCCAGAATGATTGAGCCAAATGCCCTTTGGCCATTGTTTGTTTCTAATATTATAATTAAATATATGAAATTGGAATGTTGTCCGCTGAGTAGCATAGATGGACCACTAAAAATGTAGACTGGGTAGAACCATCTACAGAACGATTTAAAACAACTCTCTTGTCACTGCCAATTCATTGTTACCATCTGTCCTTGTTCTTGTAGTTTTGCAAAGAAATCATAGCTAACATAACACGATCAGATGCCCAGATCCACAGAGAGAACAGTCGTTTTTAATGTAATGTCTTCACATCTCATCAGATTCAGCACAATCACTTCAATGTGCCAGGTTTTTTTCTTTCCCCCTTTGGTGATATGATATGTAGCATTAACAGCCAAAAGTCACTCCCTTAAAATATTTTCATCATACCAGATGCTAATAACTATAGAATTGCTACCCTTGGGTATTTGACAAATAATACCATGGATGTCCTGCCATTCATGCTGTTCAATGAAGCATTTAATACAATCAATTTCACTTGAAATATGTCATGCCTTGTAAATCATTTTGCTGTTCGCCTTTCCAATGTCAACCAGTTGTCACACTGTCAAATTGAAATGAAATGGTTCCTATCTTTGCAAACTAAAATTCAAGGGGCTTTTCTGCAGACTCTTTTCATTAAGGTTGCATTCCTGAACCAAATGGACTAGATGTAAGTCCCATTGAGTTTCTGGGGCTTATTTCTGAGTAGACATGTTGTATGATAATGCTGACTCCCAAAGCCCCATGAGACTTGTGGGCAGGTTCTTGAGCAGTTTGTTGGTGTTAAGTCTGCTACAGCACAAGAGAATAGAGTACAGTGACATCAAAATCAGAGTCCACTAGCAAAAAGTACCACCCAAACTGCTTCCAGACTGCCCCTATGTTGTGAGTGGGATTCAATTGCATAGCAGTAAATTCAGGTTGCAGAACCAAAGTGGACTTGATGTTTTTGCACAACAAAACCACTTCCACAGAAAAACCAACCCTAGACTTTCTGCAGTACAGAAGAATACACTGGAAAGTGTGGGATAACAATTGCTTGATCCTACCTTGTATAACCTCCTCACAAACAAACCATTGTTAATGTTTAATAAAGAAAGGGCATTGTATAACTACCCCACAAATCAGGAAGAATGTTCAGTAAACAACTGAGGGAGGCCTTGGTTTGTTAATAAAAACACAGTGGTTTGTTTTTTTCAGTACAATCAGTAAGAGCTGTCATCTCCCCACTACCCCATGTCGTGTTAATATTATCATATCAAGGCATACTGACTGAATTCTATTTTCCTCGGCAGAGTATGCCAAGGCTAAACTGAAATTAATGGCTTGACATTTATTTTACTCTTTGGCTTCACTGGGATTCGGACACACCTAATTCTAATGGGATCATATGTGTTATTTCTTGCATTTTCTTTGCCATTTAGCCTCACAGTGTGAAAGTATTTGTCCCTCAGTCTCTATACTCTGGTCTCTCTCGCTCTCTCCCCGCCCCCCATTTCAACTTTCCAGACCTTTTATGTGTCTGTGGAAGGCTACATCCTTATTACATTTTTGGATGCCTCTGGACCCTCTCATTTTTTATACGATCGTAGGCTAAACAACACATGATGCTGTGAGTCACTGAGGGTTATTTATTTATTTATTTTAACCTGAAGCTGCAGAGGATGCAGTCTAAAGGAAAAGATCCATGTGGGGGATATAGCTTCTTAACCCTCTCGCCTCATTTTCTTTTCCATTGCTCTTCTCTAGCAG